AGTAACACAGACCCTTCAAACTTCCCATATAGCTAAACCTCACTGAAAACTTTTCTATGGGCTATATCTGATTTTTTTTTATTAATAGTATTTTTCCTGTTGTTCTTCATAACTGAAGGTTTCTCCTTCAGTAGAGACCAAAGAATGCCAATGGTTGGCTACAGAGAATTCCACAAAGAACTGATTTCTTTCTAAATGTCTGCCATCTTCTCTTGTTCTCAAAGGGATTATTGAAGGCACAGCTACCCTCAGTTGGTGGCCATTTTGAGAAGGGTGTCTCTTTCTCATGGGCTTCACAACCTGAGCTCCAGTCTGTGTCTGTGTCTACACAGCTATTTTTAGTGCTGTAACATGAACCTGAGTCAGTAGACCCAGGCTCTGCCGTGGGCTTCTGCTTGCCATATGGGACTGAGTGTCCCAGCCTGCTCATAACATACAGGGCTGCCATCTTTCCTGTGGCATCAGACCTATTGAGAACAATGGGAGATGGTGGCCATTTTGAAAGGAAGCAAGTCTTCCTGACAGATAAACGCTGTGAAAAATAATGAGGGGAAAATACCATTAATTACCATTAATTGCAGTTTCTCCTCCCTTGGTGTTCACACCTCAACTGCTAGCAGAGCACCTCACCCTTCCTGATTGAACTAGCCTTGTTATCCCCATACTGATTTATACCTGCCTCTGGAGATTTCCATTACTTGCATCTGAAGAAGTGAGGTTCTTACCCACGAAAGCTTATGCTCCCAATACTTCTGTTAGTCTTAAAGGTGCCACAGGACCCTCTATTGCTTTTTACAGATTCAGACTAACACGGCTACCCCTCTGATACTTGACACTGGGGAAACTGGGGGTATAGATGCCAACTGTTTTACTCTGCAGTGGTAAGACAAAGCAGCTGTAAACTAATGTATCTGGCCTGTATGGTCTCACTGTTTGTGCTATTCCAGTGGGGGTTAAAGCAACCAGAGTGAATCTGGTCCTAAAAATTAAAGTTAAAAACTGGTTTGAGGTTGATACCTCATAACTTAAAATCTTTAGAAATATTGCATTAATATTCTTTGAGTTTATTTTGTTCATATGTACATTTTTAATTAAAACAAATCCCAAAGAAATTCCCACACAAAAACGACGTTAAAATGGAGTTTACAGCCGCAATTTTGGAAAACTACATTACAGGGGTGTTGTAATCATTGCAAAACCAAGTGTTCTAAACCTTGGAACTTCACAATTAAGGTTAATTTATTATTATTATTATTATTATTTATTTCATTTTATTTTATGTATTTATTTTATTAATAATAATTGAAAGTTTCTCCTTAAGCTGAAACCTTATCTCTGCCCTGTAATCACACCACACAATTATGATTGAGACATTTAGTGTTTGGGCATAGGTCCCAGCCCCTCCATGGGGAAAGAAGCCCAAGTCCCTCTCTCCAGTACAGGGCCTCCCCTCAGTTCCCCAGACCTTGGTCACCTCTAGGTTGGAATACAGCAATATTCTTGTTCTTGGGACTGCACTCAAAGGTCACTTGGAAGCTTCAGCTCCCTGTGTGCCCACTTAGGGTGTTTCTCATTGGGGGCATGATTCCTGTTGTCCATAACCTCTACTGGGCTCCCAGTTCCTTTCCAGGGGTATCTGAAAGGGCTGCTCTAGTCTAGACAATATTTTATGGTTTGAATCTTGGCTAATTTGGAATCTGCCTTGCTGTCTGCTTGCTAACCAGAGGGCCCTTGAGCTAATGGCCCTGGGATGGAAAGGGAAATGGCTGTTCAATGAAGGGATGCCAGGACACAGACCACAACTCATATTCTGACACATCCATTCTTCCTTCCCCCTTAGAGTATTCAACTTTAAAACTCTAACGCGTGTCTAATCCTTACATGCCCTCTTTATTTTTTGCTCATTGCTCTTTTTCTTTTTTTTTAACCGTAAGGGCATTCTGAAAATATCATTTGTTAGATACAGATTTTTGTCTGTGGGAGGTGCTTGGAAAGAGTTAAATGGTTTTTAGTCTTTGGGGTGAGGTAGAGGACCGGGATAGGAATCTTGGCAACAGGGGCTCAAATGAGTTAACTGTCATTTGACCGAGGTAACCATGTATGTGGCGTTGTCCATGAGTTTTGATCAGCACATTTTAAAAAGCTCAGTACATAATATTTGGTGGTGATGTTGCAGTTCCCCCCCATCCATGCAAAATTACAGCCGTGGAAGGATGGGCTTGTGCTTAAGGCATTTAAGGAACCAGGAGATCTGGGTTCTGTTCCCAACTTTGCTTTTGGAGAGCACCTAGACCTTCACTTCCCAGCAGCCTTCACCAAGCTTCTGAGACCCTGGAAGTAAAGGAAGGCCCCAGAACTGCACTTGCAAGTTTTCCATACTTTGAATTTTTAAACAAGATTCTAGGAATCCGAGAGTAATTTTGTGTTTTAGGCTCAGTCCTGCCAGCGTGTAGATGGGGCTAGCCAGAGAGCAGAGCTGAGCCACCGATTGGGCTGCTACGCATGATGCTTTGTTATGAAGTAAGAGGAGGTCACTGCACACTCGAGGTCTAGCTCATGCCCACTGTACACCTTGAGGCACCGAGCAGCTGTTGTTAGAGCTCAGTGGAGCATTTCTGTGTCAGTGGTTGGCGCTCATGGATGGCCCGGCTCTCTGTTACTTATAAGGGCAACTTTTAAGAGCGCTAGAGTGAGCCACTATTCCTGGTTGGCAACAATAGTGACAGCTATGGTGGTTGTACACGATGGCATTTCAGCATCACAGGTGGAATCCTGGCCCCATTGAAATCAATAGGAGTTTCTCCACTGATGTCTGTAGGCCCAGGATTTCCCCCCACTATCCTGGCCATGCATCTGTTACTAGGGTGACCAGACAGCAAGTGTGAAAAATCGGGACAGGGAGTGGGGGGTAATAGGAGCCAATATAAGAAAAAGACCCAAAAATCAGAACTGTCCCTATAAAATCGGGACATCTGGTCACCCTATCTGTTACTTATATAGAAACATCTCTTGTACATAGGTGGCAGCCAAGATTACAGAACATAGTTTCTGGGTTTTGTAGGGCCAATAGAACTCCTTGTTGCTCTGACCAGCAAATGGTTTCCAGCTCTGAACATTATGGTGCCCCCTCACTTCATCTTCTCTACCACCTCTTGGCCAAAGATTAGTGACTTGAGATGCATACACTTATTTTAAAGGAAAGGAGATTATTACAAAACAGAGATGAGCCCAGAACAGCCAATGGCTTCTTTAAAGGTTCTGTAAAGCCAGCCCATCACCGCTGCCATCTGTTGGAGCCACGGGTACGGTGGCGATTCTTATCTGCCCCTCCCCTTGCAACCATGGAAAGCCTTGAATGCAGCACAGCAAAGGCGTGGGAGACAGCAGAAACCCGGGAGAGTGCCTAGTGAGTGCACAGCCCTGCTGCACCTCTCCCTTCCCCGCAGTGAGGGATGGGGGAGTGGGAGGTGCGGCACGGCTGGTGGATTTGCGCTCTACGTACTGTATACAGGGCCAACACCTTAGCCACAGCCACAGAGGAGGACCCAGTAACCGCAAGAGGAGCTCTCGACTGCATTAACAACCATGAATCCACTTAGCTACTCGCCCCACCTGCTTCTGCAGAGCTCCCCTGGGCAGAGCCCGTTTTCTCAGGGTCTATGCAGCATCTGGATGTGGCTCTATGTCTGGGTGGTGACCAGTGGAAGAACATTCTCTGAAGAATAGCGGAGTGTCTCCACAGCTGGCAGAATCACTGACTTGTAGGCTACCACCAAGGATCTATTTTTACTCCACAGAGGGATCGCTTCCATGCGATAGGGGCAGACGCTTGCGGAAGTCAGCATTTGACGAGTGGAAACCTTTTCGCTTTTGGCCCGGTTTGACTAGCATGGAATAAAAGTGTGAATCATTTCAGGTCTGGAACGTGCACTCATACACGCAGCATCTCCTGGGACATATTGCTGAGCTGCCCTTCCTTCGGAAACAAGGAGTGTTAGCCTAGTAGTAGCAATAAACTTTAAAGACTAGATGCTCAGCCGTTGTAAGTTATCGTAGTTCCATTGATTCAAAGGACCTATGCAGATTGAAACCACCTGAGGATCTGTTCCACGCCTCATACAATCCCTTACTGACATCCTTTGAAAAGTGCTTTAAGATCTAGTGATGAAAAGTGCCGTGTAAGAGCTAGGTATTAGTATTTATTTAGCTTTTTATTCTACTTGTCCTGGAAGAATGGTGGTTAAGGTTGGTCTAGGTGCAAAATGCCGTGGGTATAATAAAGGATAGTTTGGTGGGGAGAGGTGCCAGTAAGTTGGCCATTCAACCTCTAACCTGGAGCAGAAAGTGACCAAACCCAAGGATGAGCCGGCCCTTGTTCTCTCATGCCCATGTAGTTTCTATATGACTTTTCCAGCCCTTAAGCCATTGGTTCTCCGGGCTCACTGTCAGTCTCATGGACCAACTCCCTTCCCTGCTTTCCCATTGCTCGGTTACCAAGATGTTTTATTTTGCAGGCTGCCAGGCACGGGATTCACCAATAGCTTGGGGATCACTGTCTTAAATCAACAGGAGTCCTTGTGGCACCTTAGAGACTAACAAATTTATTAGAGCATAAGCTTCGTGGGCTACAGCCCACTTCTTCGGA